TTTTCCCTTATCCAAAGGACCTTTCTTTGCAACACAAACTCTACAAGACCTACACCAATTTTCTACATCTTTCTTGCATGAAGCCCAATAAAACCGCCTACGAATCTTTTCCAACGTTTTATTCACCCCAAAATGCCCCCCAGAAAGAGCATCATGAGCTTCCTCCAAAATCTGTCTCACCCTCTTCTGAGGAACGATAACCTGAAGAAAACTAGATTTCACATTTGGTGCTACCCACCTCTTATACAGAACTCCATCCACCACAACTAAAGCGTCCCGATGGGATCAATAGATCCTTGAAGAAGGGCCCCTAGTCGAAACCTCTTCCCACGAAGGGCGTTTATCCCTCTCCTTTTCCAGCAAAACAATCGACACAGCCTGATCTCCCAATTGATCTTTTTGCCACTCCCCAGAAACATCCTCTTCCAAAACTATACGAGCCACCTGCTCCTCTTGTTCCAAAGCATCCCTCACCTCCAGTCTCGAGCAATACCTACAATTTGACTCCGCACAAGGCCGCCTAAAGAGCCCATCCGCGTTCCCGTACGCCCGAACGCACCGATGCACTACCTCAAAATCATACTGCTGAAGCCTCTCCGCCCAACGAGCTAACTGACCCTCCAAATCTCTGAACGACATCAATCATCTAAGAGAAGCATGATCAGTACGGACCAGAAATTTCCGCCCATACAAATAATGATGAAAAGATTTAATTGAGTCCACCATTGCCAACAGTTCCCGCCGCGTAACACAATAGTTTTTCTCAGGCTTACTTAACACCCGACTAAAATAAACAATGACTTTCTCCGTCCCTAGTTGAACCTGTGACAAAACTGCGCCAACACCATGACCGGAAGCATCCGTGTCTAAAATCAACTCCCTTTTCTCAAGAGAAAAAGAAAGTATTGGAGGCGAAGACATCATCCGTTTAAGATTCACAAACGCGTCTTGACACTGCTTCGACCAAACGAACTTAACCTGATTTTCCGTCAAAGCAAACAGCGGTTTCGCAATCAGAGAAAAACTCTTCACAAACTTACGGTAATAAAAACAGAACCTCAGAAAATTGCGAATCTGCTTCTTATTTTGCGGAACAGGCCACCCCGCCACAGCCGCAATCTTCTCAGGATCTGTCGAAATCCCCTCGGCTGAAACCACATGCCCTAAATATTTCACCTGTTTCCGAAATAAATTACATTTTTTAGGATTGAGCTTCAAATTAGCCGCTCTAAGCCTCAGAAACACCTTCCTCAAATTAGCCACTTCCTCTTCAAAAGATTTACCAAAAACAACCACATCATCCAAATATACTAAACAAATCTTAGACAATAATTGATGAAGAATCCGCTCCATTGCACGCTCAAAAGTAGCTGGAGCGTTACACAAACCAAACGGCATTATTGTGAATTGCCAAAGTCCATTCCCCACCGAGAAAGCAGTTTTTTCCCTGTCCTCCGGCCGAATTTTCATTGCCAATATCCACTTTTCAAATCCAGGGTAGAGAACCACTCATTCCCGGACAATTGATCCAGAAGATCGTCAACCCTAGGAAGGGAATAACAATCCTTAATTGTGACCGCATTAAGCTTACGATAATCTACGCAAAATCTCAAACCCCCGTCCTTTTTCTTCACAATCACCGCCGGAGAAGTCCACGGACCAAAAAATTCCTTGATGACTCCTTGGTCTTTTATTTCCTGAAGAATCTTCTCCACCTCAGCCCGCATTCCCAACGGAATCCTCCTCGGAGCCTGTTTGATCGAGCGCGGATCTTGAAGATTTATTTTATGCTGAAGAACATCACAATTTCCAGCCACAATTTGATCAGAAAAGACATCCTGAAACTCAGTCAAAAACTTAGCAAAAACGTTCTTTTGTGCCTCATCTAAATCAATAGAATTCCGCTCATAAAAATCTTTCAAATCGGCCAGAACATTCTCGGAAGCGTCACATACCCGACAGCAAGACACTTCCGACTCACCCGAGGAACCAACAAAAAGCGACTCCAACGCCCTGCTCAGACCCGCCTCCCTGAAAAAGTCCAACCCCAGAATACAATCGTCCAGTATATCCGCTACGTACAGAGGCATGCTCAAAGAATGTCCCCCCACAACAACACGAGCCACACACATAAACTCAACCGGAACCTCCTCACCGGTAGGATACTTCAATCTCGGCCTCTCTGTCAACCTACGACAGTGCCACTTCTCTATAAAATTAAAATTCACGATTGACACATCGGAGCCCGTATCAAATTTAAAATAACACGATTTATCGTTCAAAAAACCGGAAAAAACAAATAAATTAGTTTTCTTATTATTAATTTGTTTAACCAAAAATACCCTTTCCGGGGTGTCCCACCCCATAACCAAACCCATCCCTGGAAGCTCGACTAAACCTTGTTTTCCGACAAATTAGCCGAACACTTGTAGCGGAAGTGCCCCTTCTTTCCGCACTTCCAACACTCCTTTTCCTTCTGCCCACCATTCTCCTTCTGCTCTCGCTCCTTCTTTGTTTCGTTCTCAGACCTCCGCTCGCCATTTTTCTTAAAATTATACGGCGTTCCCCTGCTTGCCCCAAAACTATTCTCTTGAATAGCCTTTACTGCCTTTGCCCGTTCAACAGCAGTTCTCAACGACGTCACATTTTCTAATTGTAACGTACGCTTCACGAAGCCATCCGAGAGAGCGGCAATGAATTGCGCGCAAGCGACTTTCTCGCGAACTTCATGTGAACTCTGCGAGTACGCAAGACGTGACAAACACTCCAGATCCGCGCCGAGCGCCGCAAAATCCTCGCCGCCCTTCTGCTTACGATTCGCGAACTGCGCATAACAACTTTGAAAAAGCTCCCGCTCCCCGAACCGCGATTCTAACTTCGAACGTATCTCATTGTAGCTAAACCTCTCTTCCATCCCCTCTAAAACCGAGCGCGCTTTCCCTCTCAGATTCGTGGCCAAGACCGTCGCTTTCGCCGCGTCGCTCCACCCGTTCGCACGCGCGACCAACTCGAACTGTACAAGGAACTCTCTCCAAGGAACACTCCCGTCAAACACGTCCGGCTTAATTTTCACTCCCGACAATTCCTCCGCCCGAATAGGAGAACGACTCGAAAACGACTCGCCTGATACAGCACGTTGAAGTCGCTCCTCCAGGCATCGGACGTTCTCCTCCTTTCGGCGCACAAAGTCGCTAAATTCCCGCTCTTTCTGACGGAACGTATCCCTCTCAAGACGACGCTCCTCCCGCAGCTGCTCCAGCTACTGCAGGACCGCGCGCAACGTTTTGTTCTCGGACGTTGCCGCCGTTGCCGCCGGCGCCGCCGACGCCTCCGCCGCTCCAGCCGCAACTTGATTGCGCGTTCTTCGCAGCGAGTGCACTAAAGCTATACCGCCGGTCTCTCAAGCTCGATACCGGACGAGCCTCCAAAATTGTTACGCTCACGGTGAGAACGACTCGTCTCCGTCGCTAAACTCCGCGATCCGCGCAACCGTCCGCGGAAATGAGAGAACGCGGCTCTTTGATCAACACTTTATTGTGGCTCAAATTACAAAAATAATTAAAGAATGCGACCGAATTTACAAATACGTCGTGACAGAATCCGCGACCGAGAATTCTCTTCTCTTACAACAATCGTCGTGGTTCGGCAACCAACGGTCGCACCGAGCGCGCGCCGTTCACACAGCTCCCGCGGCACATACACGGTGTCCGCCGCGTAATATTATACTGATATAATGCTATATAGAATAGTCGTCCACGTGAACAACACTACGCCAAGAAGAACTAGGCAAACTTTCACACTAAGTAAAAACTGTTTTGAAAGACTGTTTGGTATTACGTTACAAAATACTTCTATCTTCTTTACACATTAAGCTCAGACTTATTAAACAATTTGTGAAAGTTATGCAGGCCAAAGATAGCAAAGTTTTTAAATATATTTTTAAATGAAAATCAATGGAGGAGAGTTTTCGATGGTCCTCAAGTCAGATCTCTCTTAAAAAATGATAAATTCAAAAAAATAATAACATCAGAAAAAAAGGCAGCCTGAAGAAGCTTGAGGGAAGTGACTCAGAAGTTTCTGGGGAACACAAAGGATGCTGATTACAGAAGAGATTATTGTCAAGAGAATGGTGAGAAACTTTAGAGATGTAGGATGCTTCATGAATCTGAAGATTCATTTTTTGAACTGCCATATTGACTACTTTCCTGAAAAGTTGAGCGACTTCAGCAAAGAACAAGATGAGCGATTTTATCAAGACTTAAAGATATGGAGAAGAGATGCCAAGGTATTTGGGATGAGCACATAATGGCTGACTACTACTGGTGCGAAATAGAGATTCGTCAAGACCACATAAAAAAAAATTGATTCGTAGATCGTTTGAGACAAAAAACTCGCTACACGAACCGTTCTAAATAGGATAGTGTATTTGATGTCATTAATTTTAGTTCATGTTCTGATATTTCGCTTTTTAATATATTCGTTTACGTTTTGTTCTTGGCGTAGGTGCACCTTCAAATCAAAAAACATTCAAGAAATTGTTGATTTATTTTTAACTAATCGTTTCTCTATATTTCTTTACATTTTGTTTCTGGCGTAAGTGCCCCTGCTCTAAGCAGGTAAGTCCAAAGAGAAGTGGTACCTCCACGTGGTCTGGGATGGGTAACGCTAGATCCACTTCATCAAAATTACGAGTGCAGTGTTTCGGGATTCTTGAGTTATGGAGTCAAAGACTTATAAGGTTACAAAAGCCCTCTAACACATTTTATACTCTTGATCATCTGACTCGTAACATGTACTTTTTACTCGAATTAAGTTGCTATACGTGCATTAACACTCTGGGTGATAGGGTTTTGGGGTTATGGGATTATGGAGTTAAAGGATTATAGGGTTAAGAAAAACCATCTAATCCACATTTTAACACTTTTGATCATCTGACTCATAAAATGTATTTTTTACTCGAATTAAGTTGCTATATGTGCATTAACACCTGAGTGATGGGGTTTTGTGGTTATGGGGTTATGGAGTGTTAAAGGGTTATGGGGTTAAGGAAACCCTCTTATCCACATTGTGACGCTATGGTTATTTGACTTATAAAATGTACTTTTCACTTGAATTAAGTTGCTATACGTTCCTTTACAATCTGTAAACGCGGTTCAGATAACGTTTTTTGAAATTAGGCAAACAATGAGAGCTACTAGATAAAAAAGAAGACTAAATTTGTTTTTAGCGACCCCAAGAACATATAAAGGACCTGGTGTAGTCTTCCGCAAATAAAAAAAAATTGTGTAGTCCTGTGTAAGTAGCAATATCAAAAACTCTTAGAAACACTAAAGTTCAAATTTTGAAATTTTTCAACACTTGCCATACCGTTAATAACCGCTCTGACTGCTATAGTAACCAGCAACAAACTCGGAAACTTTGCGCTACATACAGGTTCTATATATGCACACATTTTTTATTAAAAGAAGTCAACATTTTAAAAGAAAAATGCCAGTCACTTTTCAAATTAATAAGTTTATCGTTCCTTGTTTTGAGCTGGATAATGGCGTAATGTAGCGTGTTGATATCTGTTGGTGTGGGGGGGGGGTGTTCTATAGATTTGGTAGTTTAGAAAGTCTGATTTTCTTAACCAAAATATC